AACCACGCCTTCTTCTAATATAACGCTATTTTGAATTCCATCTGATGCCTTCTCTGTATAATATATACATTAGGAACCAATGATGATAGCGGAATAAAACTTTACACAAATACGGTATTTGATGCGAGAGTAGAAAATGTTAGGTGAAACCGAACTTAGCCCTTCTTTACTTGTTTTTAGTTGATTTTCATATAACTTTTGCAGATGCATAGTAAAATATAGTAACAAAATTAAATAAGGCTATGACCTATAATTTAGATTTGAAAAATACCAAATTTGATTATAATCCATTCGTGAAAATTGTTAGAAAAGTGATAATAATTATACCATATGTAGTATATGGAAGTTGGGGTCTCTGTTTTTGACAATACCACATACTATTAACAAGCCACATATTATATTAAAAAACCAATCATATAGAGTAAAGTCAGCCAGATGTTGGAAAATCCTGATATTAGTTATATAAAGGCTAGGTCGAAAATCTGTATAATAAGTATATGGGGGCTCAGGGAATCATCCGGTTCAAACCATTTTTAAAACTTAGTATTACTATTGTCAGGAAAGGATTCTCTCTGAATTTCAATTATATATCAGTCGATATTTTCGGTCAAAAATCAACTATAGATACTTGGATCACATATTCGTTACCTAGGGGCTTGAACAATTTTGGTTGGATTTGGACAATTTTAGGTAATAAAATGTTCATTTTCACATCGTTGGAATGAGTTATTATAATATTTAGGAGATATGTACATTACTCTTATTAGAAGGCGGGGCCGCACCCACTTAAAAAAAAAAAAATATTATCATAGGTGCCCCTTGCGAATGTGATCTTCTGTGTCTAATTAGAGTTTTATATCTTAATTTAGTGATTAGTTATTGGGCTTTACAGGTTCTTAGTTAATATCGTTTTGTGGGCGTGACACTGGTCCGATTACGCCCATCTACGAATTCGTAATATTTTTTACTAAGGAAGGTGCATACCAAGTTCTCTCAATTTTTACAAAAGTTACAGCTTGCTTCACCTGGATTTCTACTCGTCTCGTCATTCTGATCACTTACATATATTATATTTACATAACCCTATGTCTATCTCGCTAAGATGGACCGTTCATACTTTTTGCGTCTATCAAGCTGTTGATTCTATTGTCAGTGTCACTCAGTTTCACTCTAATAAATTTTTGTATTGTCACTGTAATAAATTTTTGTTTATACTTAAGTCTGATCCGTTACTCTGTCTGATTCTGTCAGTTCGGTTCATGTACACGAAGCGCACCATTTGTCTTCAAATCAGCGATAGAGAGCAACTTTAAATCAATAGCGCTCAGCTTATACCTGATTTGTTTATGGACGTTCGTATCAGCAGAAAATACCCGAAGTGAGGCAAGCTCATACTTCAATGATTGAGATGATCGACAGCGTTTGATTTGTATATCATCCCCTAAACACTGATTTAGTCGGGCCCTTCTTTTTTATTTCAAATACAAGCGTTTGTTTATACATGTATGTATGAATATACATATGTAATATCTATAATGGATATTACATCAAGTACATACATACAACACATATGCATGCATGGAATTTCCATTGTTTACGCTTCGAAAATTTGTAACACGCCTACATTTTCAAAGCTGATACATTTTTGCCACACATAATTCAAATCAGTCCAGCAGAAAATTGTTGTTGTTTGCTGTACTTATAGATTTACCCAAAGATTTACTCGTAGATTTACTTATAGTTTACCCAAAATTTCACATCAATTCAAACAATCATCGCAACGCTATAAACTGTCATGATACGATTGGAACCGAGGCCAGCCGTACCGTTTACTCGATCATGATTGCCGAAGAACAGATTGTTCGTGTTGCACCAGATCAGTTGACGCTGGCGTCTACTCGAATTGATCAACAATGTTGTCTATGCTGAACTAAATTGATTTGATGGTATTTTTGGCATCACTCTTTGCGGTATAAAGTCAGCCTAGAGTTCAAAAGTTTTTCAATTATGTACATATGTATATCGGGGTT